ACATATATAATAATAATCGCTTTTTGTGTATAAGTATACGCCTTGCGGATTATATCAAGACCCTTCCGATAAATCTTAGAATTCTATAAATAGGAATAAATCTTAAAATAAAATAATATTATGAAATATACATTTTAAATTGCGTGTAAATCGCGTAATTCTCAAAATCATTTGATGCGCATGCGGTTTCCAGGAAGTACTGAAGTTTATCTTCCAATCCATATATATTTTGCGAAATTTCATTTGACGGCTAAGATGTGCCACACGTTACATTGAAGTACCCAAAAAATCGTAAAACGCGAATAATTCCCGAAAACTCCATATGCCATTAACGCGCATCCGATTTCGGTGTGCACCCTAAAAAAATACATCGATCTATACCATTTCAATGTGGTCCATTAAGAACCATGGATGTGCCAGCTCACACTATTTTTGAGATAAATTGCGTACATCTCTCTTTCGGCCGAAGTTTTTAAAGTTCTTTTTTCGAAAAAGATCAAAATCCGTATGAGGTCATTTATTGAAGCGGAAATGATACACAGAAAACGCAAATAAATCCGCGATATTTTCAAAAACATTTTTTGCCAAATTTCGTGTTTTTGGAAGGCCAGTTCCCGCCGTTCTAGTAGATGGATTTTCACGAAGAAGATTTTATATTATCCGAAACGTAAAAAACCTTATTGATCGCGGGTACCCATATCATTCAGTTGACAGATCTAAAAATTTAGCCCGAAAAATAGGTTTTTTAGAAATTTGATCGCACAAAATTCGCACCTTCGGATGAGTATTACTCTGAAGCTGTGCATACTACATGAGTGGCTTAGTCACAATGAGTGGCTTAGTCACAAATCGATAGAGAACATAAAAAAACTGGTTCGCCTCAACGTGTTTTTACACATTTTTTTACATTAAAGTAGACACAGCTTCCACCAAAATAAAGTTTCGAGGTCAATATCACGAACAGTTTGCAATGACAGATCAATAAACCCAAAACTATTCACTTTTTTTCATATACTTAAGTAGTTCCCGAGTTATAAAGGTGTGAACCTCCGCTTCAGCTATGTTAAAAAATTGGCAATATTTCCCATATATATTTTATAGGATCGAAAATAAATATTTCGATGAGTTACAAACGGAATGACAAAATGAATGTACCCTCCATACTATGGTTAAAGGTGTATTTAATAAGGTGTATGCATCAGATACAACAACAAATATTTTACAAAACAACATTGTTGTTATAGAAATTAAATTGTCATGCTGACAATAAGTTTTTGACAAAAATAAACAAAAACAATTATTAATATATTTTTGTCAAGAACTATTCTTTGAGGAATGATTAATGAATTTATGTATTCTTGGGTTATTGGCGGTTTTAGGTCAGTGAAAAATAAAGTTTAAGACTTGGTCGCGATTAATTTTAAGATTTCCACACATAACAAAAAATATGTGGACCAATCGGCGAACGGGGTTATAAATGAGCCTAAGTTTCCTTTCCGTCCCCTCTATGAATGTAGTTTTCTTGAGTTTTTATTATTAAAAAAGCCTAAATTTAAAGGCCATTTTTGAAATCGAAATGTAATGTTGAAAATGTTTTTGACAATTTACTTTACAAACAATAAAGAAAAAAGTTTGAAACCATATGATTGTCACTTATACCTTACTAGCATAGGCCCGCTACGTTGTTAGCGAAACTTTTTATAGTTAAATAAATTAACATTAATTTACCTACACAATATACTTTTGGATTAAGTATAAATTTTGAAACATTTTAATTATAGGGTTTATATGTTTGTTTTTATCTCAGTTTTTACTCCGTATTTCTTTCGCACAGAAAAGTAATGCTTCTATCCATGGTACAATTATAAAAGGTAACAGCAAATCCCAGCTGATTTGATTCCAACGTTATACTAGTGTCAATATGAATTTGACAAATTATGTTTTTAAAAATCACCCAACAGGAAACTTGGGAACGCATACAATTTAAAATTGTTCTTTATTAAATGTGCTCCTGTATTCAATTTACTCAATCTGCCTGCTGGGAAAGTTTGAGGAAGCAAATCTTTCTTCAAGGAATAACTCGCTATTCCCAGCATTTTCATATGTGTTACACATATATATGGCAATGGCTCAATTATAAGAAAGATGTGGAATAGATAGAAATATAAATTTGATAGATTTTCATTCATGTTTTTCAATTTTTATTTTGAGGATTCGAAAATATTTCATTTTCAAAATAAAAATAATTTGATGATAATTTGTTTGTTTATTTACATTTTTCTGTCAAATGAGTTGACACTAGTAGAACTTACAAAAACAAATTTCCATGTGGTTGTTGTATCGTTTTTTGTACAACAACACTTGCTGTTACCTTCTATTATTATACCATGGCTTCTATCCTACTAAATCAAGTACAACTTACTTATTGTATATTTCCTGTAAGTTTACTACTTTCTCGATCCTCCCGATGGACTAATGTAAAAAGTTCTATAATACTGTGTTAACCTTTTTTGTCCCTTTCGGTAATTTAATACTAATGGTAAAATATCTAGTTCGTTTTAGTACTTCTAGTAGTACCCTTATAGTATAAATTACAATCTTGCACAGCGCATCATTTTTTATGCAGAGACCTGCTTTTATAGTGAAGATTTCCATTAAAATTGCAGAAATTTAGTATTTCTGGTGCGTTACGTATTACAAAATACTCAATGGAATTGTCGGTATTTTTAGTATATCCTCATAATAATGATGCAGCCATGAATAATGGGCTTCAAAAGGTTGATGCAGTATAATATATTTCCAGTGTGGTTGGAAACATCATTGGAAATATCTGTGTTGTTATTTTAGAAATTTTTGAAACTTTAGCATTTAAAAGTGCCTACACTTTAGTACTTGTGATGTTCAGCGGCTTCTTTGCATAGTTTCACTTATTTGTATTTGAAGTCTTGACCGTTTTTCACTACATTGGAAATTTTAACCAAAATACATATTATCATTCGCTGTAGTATAGATTCATGTGGGATTTGAAACTATATTTCATATAACTGTTAGTAATTTTTATTAAAAATGTTTGAAAAATATTTCGATAAAACATTTTATTTGCCATAGTCAAAAAGTAATACTAAAATTCGGATATGTTTCTCTAACCTTTCATATTTAGTACTTTTTCCTAAAAATTAGAAAAATACTTTTTTTAATTTGTCAAAACAAAATACACATACAAAATTTCAGGACTCTACCTCTACTCGTTCTGTCGTACAGAATATTTAGTACTTTAAGTACAAATGTGAAACAAAATTGCCAAAAGCATTTATTTATATCCAGCCGTACCGCCGTATACAAGGTGTGTATTTTTGGTGCTATTTGGTACGAATTTTCAATAAACCAAGCCTGTTATTTGTACTAATAGTTGGACATTTTTGTACTCTAAATTTACATTTATATTTTAACCATTCACTATGGTACAATATTTAGTACTATTTTGTGCATATCGCTCTATTTGTAATAGTTAAGCTAGATCTCAATCTATGACTTTTCCATTTTAATATTTTGTACCATTTTAGTACAAATTTCAAAAATATATAAATAATAACTATAGTAATTAGTACTAATTGCAAAAAGTTATGCTTAGCATTAATTTGCAATAGAGTAAGCTACATACAAAATTTCAGATTTCTATTTCTCCCAGTTCCATTGCATTTAATTATTTAGTACTTTCTAACGCAACTTTAGTGCTAAATTAAAAAAATATGCATAGAATTCTATTTGTAATAGTTAAAGCTATATGTGAAATTTCAGAACTTTTTTAATATATTCTAGTACTCATTAAAAAAAAACAAAAAATGTTTGCCTATCATTCTACTTGTAATAGCTTAAGTTACATACCAAATTTCAGATATCTATGCCTATCTGTTTCATCGTAGTATAATATTTAGTACTGTTTAGTACATTTAGTACTAATTTCCAAAATATGTTCGCACATTTGATTTGATCAATGACAAAGCTGCATACCAAATTTCAGAGTTGTAGTTCCAACCGTTCCGGCGTAATACAGTTTTTAGTACTTTTTAGTACCATATTTGTTCTAATTTCCAAAAAATATTTTTGCACATAATTTTATTTTTAATGGCTTAAGCTATATACCAAATTTCAGATATCTATCCCTACCTTTTCCATCGTAGTATAATATTTAGTACATTTTAGTACCTTTAGTACTAATTTCCATAACTTCTTCACAAATTCTGATTTGCTTATCACTGACAAAGCTGCATACCAAATTTCAAAGTTCTACTTTCAACCGTTCCGGAGTAATACTGTTTTAGTACTTTTTAGTACTAATTTCCAAAAAATATTTTTGCACAGTATTCTCTTTGTAATAGCTTAAGCTCCATACCAAGTTTCAGATATGAATACTCACAATTTCCATTTAAATACAATATTTAGTACTTTTTAGTACATCTAAGTACTAAATTCCAAATTTTTTTCACACATTCAAGTCCGCTCACCATAGGCAAAGCTACGTGCCAAATTTCAAAGTTCTACATCTAACCGTTCCTTCGTAATACAGTTTTTAGTACTTTTTAGTACCTTTTAGTACGAATTTCCAAAAATCCCGCCTTATCACACGCCTACTCACTAAACCCCACCTACATGCCAAACTTCAAGTTTCTAGCTTTAGCCGTTTCGTCTGGGCGTTGATGATCAGTCAGTCACTTATAACGCAACTCTTTTATATATATAGATTAATTAATTAAATACACCTTGACTATGGTTGAGGGTATACAAATCGAAAACAAATTCGAATTACTGAAGATTTTTGCAAGTTCACATTTTGTATTTTCATTTCTGTGGATAAACATTCCCATCCCCGTATTGATTTTTCTGCTAATGGGTTAAAACAGCTGGATTTTGTTTACAAACAACAATTAAGCCATTTGGGTCTTCTTTCATTCCAGAACGTCACGAAGTGTTTCCATAAACAACAAATGGAGAATGGCAAGATGACCAAAAAGATTCTGATGGTTTGTATGGGTAAAAATCCAAATATATGTATATCATTTAAAAAAATAGAAATCTTCATCCCCTCTATTTGTAGGAAATATCTGCCGCTCACCTATAGCCGAGGCGGTAATGCGAAAGGCACTACAACGCCGAGGTTTTGATAAAGAGTGGCTGGTCGACAGTGCAGCTCTGGTAGGTTATCATTCTGGTTCTTTGCCCGAAGAACGTGTCCTCAATGTTCTGCAACAGCATGGCATTCACTATGACAAAGAAGCCCGAGTTATTAATTCACAAGATTTCCAAGAATGTGATTATATTTTCGGTATGGATATGGATAATGTTGCGGAACTTCGTAAGATTGCTACACCCGAATGTAAAGCAAAAATAATGCTATTAGGCGATTTTGGTCTACCGGAAACGGAAAAGATTATACATGATCCATATTATGTACGTTGATGCTTGAAGATAATGCTCTGATTGGTATAAAAATGTATCTTGATTTTCTTCTTTTTTTCAGTTTCTTGGCGAAGCGCCATTCGAAGAGGTCTATGATAAATGTGTGGTGGCCTGCAAAGCATTTATAGAGGACATTGTTATGAAAACTCAGTGATAAAAGGGATTATGATGTATTTTTTATATTGAAAAGTTGAGTTGTTTTTTTATGATTTTTTTAAATAGAATTTTTATAAACATTTATTTTTAAAAAACATTTTATAATTTATTTAATGTGTGTAGTATTGCTCAGAATAATATCCATAATACAAATAAGAACTAAAATAATTTGCGATGAATGACCTCAGAATGAGGTGAATTGATTTCGATCAACATCATGGTCTAATTACAACAGAACTGCTGCAACAATTTAAGCCAAGCCCAAATGATCAAATATATGGATCTATAACAATATTTGTATCAATATTGATTCAGGATCTGCGAGTGAAGTGACTTCCGCATTGCATACTTTATCGCCGTCCTTCCAAGAACTATCTACTTTTAAAAACATGGTCTCCGAGTGAAATGTCTACCTCATTCCTCATTTTTATACCCTCCACGATAGTGTGGTATATAGGGTATAATACGTTTGTTTTTCCCTTTGTAATTTTGCATAGAGTTGTCTTTTGTCTTGAGACAGGACAAGTTCGAAGATGGGCTATATCTGTCCACGTTTAGTCATAGCCCCCATATACCCATGGGAGGTACCGGAAGGAGTGGACCCAATAGTTCCCATCTTCGTACTTGGTAATGATAAAAAACGGTCACTCCCTTTAAGCGCACCAGCCGGCCAGACAGACGAACTGACATTTGTAAATCAACTCAAAATTGTCTGAAAAGAATTTGGTCCAAAGATCTCAAACAAATATTTCGATAAGGCACATTTTTGCCGTATCAAAGTGTATATACCCTCATTAGCCATAAGGCTGAGGGTATAACAAGAACGTCAGTTTCGAGAATGAAATATATCGGCTAGCATTTAGACCTAGGTCCCATATAATGATACTCCCCGAATTTCGGTATTTATAATATTCGATTTGAAATTGAGTTATATCGGTGCTTAATTAGGCATAGTCACTCACATAATGATAACCCCAAATATTTGGTAATTCCTACACGATGTAATCAATATTGGACCCGCTTTAGGTATAGCCTCATATAACTTTGTCCTCTGAATTTCGGTATTTTGAGGATATTATACACATGTTCCACCCTACCATGTATTATCAATATATATCAATAAAAATTACTAAAATTTGTATTTGGTGTACATTATGGTATACAACAATCTATTGGTAGAATTGTCGCCATTGGTCCACTTTTTGGAATGTTCCCTATATTTTCATTTCAACTATTTCCAGTATAGCCATGGTGGAGGGTATCCGGAAAAACTTAATGCTTTTTTCACTTAATTTATTTACTCTTTTTTCCGGGAACTTAGTCCGACTTGCTGCTTCAATCCTTGCTTTACTATTCTCTGTAAAATAATAAAAACAAACATTCAATTATTTGAATAAAAAAATTTAACAACTTTATTACATTTTACTTGCTTCTGTTTTGTTTGTTCTCTCTTATAAACTAAAGTATATATTTATATATGTATGTAGTATGTTGTTGTTTTTATGTATTTAATCATATAGTATATATAATTGTAAAATTATTACACACATTCATTCTCTATAATATAAAAAAATAATCACCAGCAACTTGTGTCCATCCGTCCATTCATTCATTTCGTCACATCTATTGCCACACATCGCCAATTGTTCCTCCATATGAATTAATCTTGTCCCCGTTTTATTCCAGTTTCGTCGTTGCCGTCATCGCCATTCAACAATTTTCATCTTTCCATTTCTTTTTTGCTTCAATTTTCGATTCAGGTACCAGTGAACTTTTAACACCGCCCAATATATTTGTTGTTGCCTGGGTAGCCAAGACGGCCGGACACACAACAAGTTGTGGAACTTGACGCATAACAGCTCCAACAGCACCGGTTAAACCTTTTTGATCGTGTTCCGCCACAGCGGTTTCTATTAGATTATTGGCGGAATCGTTAATGCCATCTTTGACAATTTGATAGGCGTTCACCACCCCTTCACGTATATCTTTGGGTCTGTGCGTTCGTCGTTTATTACCACGACGTGAACGCTTTAACTGGCGTACCGAAGGTCCTGGAGAAACCATATCAAACGCCGTCTCTGCAGTAAACTGTAGCAATTGTATGAGGCGCGATGTGATTTCCAATGCAGCCAGTATGGTTCGAGCACTGAAACTTTGTGCACCCAACTGCAGACCCCGTATGATGCGACCATCTTTCTGATAATGTTCAATGGGTAGCCAAAATAGATCATAGATACCCTGAAATAGTTGCACAAATGCATATGTCGGGCCCACACCACTCAATATCTTGGGCAATTGATTGCGTTTGATATCCCTTAGCCATTCCTTGCAAAGATAATTGAATACCTTCTCAAAACCCAGAATGCCTCGGCGATAGACAATTTTCCGTAGAATTATTTCAGAACATTGCAGTTGACCCAAACCCATAAGCAGCCCTGCCACAGGACCTTTCGACAATTCCACACGACGTCCATGATAATCAAAACATATGGAGATGTCAGGACTGAATATGATTTCACGGAAATATGTGGGTGAAGTGTCGTTAGGGGGTGAATGTTTCGCTGTCTTCTTCGTCGGACTGGTACTACTCTCCGATTGGGTGTCATCCATTAGTATGTCCAAATTTTCATTGACAATACGCCGGGCCCGCAAATCCTGTACAGCTTCTGGCAAATCTAAGTCGCTGCACAGCGTGGCTGTCGGCGGTGGTGCTGGCACTTTGGGCTTATCCCCCTCCGGCTTATCGCTGTCACAACTTTTACCAAAATTGGTAAAGAAATCCGTTATAAATTCCAATGTGTCCTGGTCGATGTGCAGACGCAAAGGCGAAAGAGATATTTTCAGAGAGCATTCCTGTGCTGGACTTTGTTCGGGATTTGGTCGTACATGCAGACACTTAACCACCACCATATGTTTCATACGGCGATTGGAGAAACTGCTGCTATTCGCATTGTAAAGGAATTTATTGATTTCTGAAGTTTGTAGCCGGTCCCTTATTTCCAGCTCATTTACCAGGAATACCTGACGCGAGGCATATGCAGCATGCAGGGGATATAGTTCATATGAGAAACCCACCTTGCTGAGTTGTATTTCCACCAGTACCTCGTGGTTACGGTTCTCGCCACCCTTCGATTTCCAGGTTAATTTTTCTTTGGGTTTTTTAGCCGTCTGTGGTCGACATTGGTTACTGGCATTCGAAACACCATGACGATATGCTTCGGACATGGTGGCTGTCTCAGCGGAGGATGCTGCTGTTGTTGTTGACGATGTTGTACTGCAAGGAGTTTGAGCAAAATCATGACCACCATACAAATGCCAGGTGACCGTCATTTCACATAGGGTATAACGTAGATCGGCTGATGGAAATGTGGGTGGGGCTTTTAGAATATCATTATGCGAGGATGGCAAGCCAAAGTGATTGTCAACAATGCGCAAAGGATCTTCGGATATTTTGATGTCTTCGAAATCCAATTCCACACGCTCCTCGCCCACAATAAAGCAATAATCGTCCTCCGAGGAACATTGGCTTTGCAGTTCTTTGACGGATTTTTGTTCTGCAACAACACCGAAATCACCTTTAATTAGCGGCAATGGTTCACCGACCGCAGCACTGGACGATGTACAGGGAATATCAAATTCTTGTGGGGTATTGGCCATTGCTGCAGCGGCCACATCTTTTGATGCCTCATCGGGAAAATAGAATAATTTCAATTCATCTACTTTGGGAGGAATAGTGGTCGTGGACATGGATGATGTTGACATATCACTTGCCTGCAGGACATCAACACCATCCTTCACGGCCTCAGCCATTAGCTGGTTAACGCGCTCCTGATGCCGATCACTGATATCTGCCGATGTTTGGGACTCGGCCAAAAGTAAGTCTGAGTCTGAACACAATGAAGATTGTAAAGATTCCTTATCACTGGCCTCTTCATCTTTGGCTATATTATTGGCTATATAGCCAATCAATTGGGCAAAGGCACTGCCCGAATCGTAGCAAGTCCTTAAATGGACGTCTTGCAGCGAACATCTGAGATCTAATTTGGGATGTTTCTCCGTAGTCTCACCACTGATGCGTAGTGATATTTCCAGTAGACCGAAATCCAACACGGGTACCATATTGGCGGCATCAATAAAGGTAACACGGTTGCAGGGAAGCACCTTGTTTGTATCATGAGGAGCAATGGAAAAGACACACTCCTCCAGGACAAAACGTAAGTTACAACCTGTCATGGTGGAAATTATGTTGCTGCTGACCGAGAAGTAGAACAGCTCTAGCACCGCACGATAGGGAAAGTTTTCGGGACGAAAATCAATGGCACAATCCCATAAATGTAATTGCATTTCCGAGACCACACTAAACGGTTCATAACCTTCAATGGGATAGTCCATGACATCGAGGAAATCCAAAAGTTGATTCAGCCAAAAATACGATGGAGCCATTAGAATATAGCGGAGAGTGGTGTTTTTAATGCCTGCGGTTATTTTCAGGCGTTTAATGTGTTGTGGTAGATTTTTCTTGATTTCAATGGCCACAGTGACCATTTCACTGCGTTCGCCGGGCTTCTGGCCCACAATACCTTTGGTTAGACCTAAGGGTATTTTGTAGATGGTCGCCTTCATAAAGTCCTCTATGTGGGCTTTGCTATCACATCGCAATGGCGAATTCATGGGCACCACACCGCCATGATACATTTCAATTTCATTGACCTGCAGGCAGAAGTAGGCCAGACAGGGATCATCACAGTAACCAGTTAAACTGAAAATTCTCAAATCGTCAATGTAGAGCAGAAATTTGCCCGACACCTCAGGCAATATGTGATTCTCGGAATCGCGGACGGGTACAAAGATGGCAGCAGTGGCTTTGCCAACTTTTATTTCCACTGAACATCTGTGGCCGTGGCGGGTATTGTTGAAATCTTTCGACGATGTTAACAGTGATTTAAATTTTCGTGAAGATTTATGTCTACGGCGTTGTGAAGTTAACGTCTCATCATCTTCATCATTGGTATGTTCATCGTCACCATCGTCGTTATCATCATCCTCCGCTAAGTCGTCGTCATCATCATCATCGGCATAATTTAAATGATGTTGCGACTTTGTTTGTTGTTGCGGTGGCTCACCAAATGGATCATTATCGGGCTGTTGTACAGCTGAAATATAAACCGAATCCATCAGACCCAAATTTGGCATACCCAAAAAACTTTTCTCTTGCATCGGAGTTCCAGTCAGATATGGAGACGATGGTTCCCACATAAACAAATCAGAGTTTAGACGATTATAGATCAACTCGAACAGTTGCTTCGATTCCAAAAACAAATTAAGGCTGGGAAAACTTATGCTTATTCCAATCACAGATGAGGCCATTGATTTTTGGCAAAATTCATTTATTTCATGAGTTTCGCCTGGCAGTAAAATAGTTTCGGTAACATCAGACTCCATTCTTGGCTGGGCAGTGCTACTCTGGCGACAATTACGTTTCGAACTAAACGGCAAAAGGGGTTCTTCATCTTTGCCAAAGACATAGCTATCCTTGATGTCTATACATATTGAGGGATATTCAAGTTGGGTGGCATCCTTGCCAGCGACAGGTGTGGTTGCTTCACAGCGAGTATTTAAAATGTGGGTCTTTTCCTTCAGGGCATCTTCACAGTAGTAAATGTTGATTTCATTCGATGTCAAATTTATTTTATTTTGACAGTACTTAAGATGCATCTGTTCCAGGGAGAGTAACAGGAAATCGGGTCTAATATTTTGTTTCCACCAGGGAATACGTTCGGGATCATGTGCAGGTTTTGCATCAACAATGGGAAATCGCAGATGTATATCTAAATTGGCGCAATTTAAACTTATCACGGTGTTATCGCTGCTTGGTGCCGCATCACTGTCGTTCAATGTTGCCTTGGGGCAGGTCTTAGCCGGGGTTTGAGCAAACAAGGCACCCAAGCGATCGATAATCGAAACATCAAATTCCAATGTGCATGGGGCCAAATCAAAATTGACCGTGGTAGATGATTTATTTTTTAAATTATTGGAATTTATCGAGTTGACATTCAAAATTAATTCGGATCTTATTTGGCCACCGTCTCTTGTGCGTTTACGTTGACCGAAAGCCAACAGTTCGGTTACCTTGCCTTCGAGAACCTCACAAAAGTCCAATTGCGTAGCCGAGACGGTGGCATTGAATTGCAGCAGGCTTTTGTTGCGATTCTGTTTGCCCTCTGCCACCAGGGGTTGCATACGCACCAAAATGTGATTTTGTGAAACACTAGTCAGCGTGCTGCGTGAACTCATCGATGAACTTAACGACTCGCAATATTTATCTTCAGCACTGACTACTGATTGCTAAATTGTTAGATTTTCCGGTGTATGGACATCATGTTTGTGTTTGCATATTGTATGTGTATGCGGGGGAGGGAAGTAAATTTTAGGGCCTGTCACATCCTCTGATTGCTTCACTTTCACCTGAACACTTTGTTCTCCATTCAGTTCCAACAATGGAATATCTTGTTGATTACTATTCCCCATTGCCTCCGAATCCGATTTCAATTCTTGTGTATAAATATGGGCTCCCCTCAAGCTTATGTTGTGCTTTGTGTATGTGGGTATGCGATTCAACATCTCCTCCGTACTGTCCATGCCCTGATGTTGTTGTTGCTGCTGCTGTTGTTGTGTCGTGGCACTTTTCTCATTGCCCGTCTCATTTTTATACAACACCTCTTCGAGATGCACCTTAAACGCAATACCTTTGAGCGTACTCACCAATGGGTGTTCTATTTGTATGGTAATATTTGTAAACTTTGCCCTAATGCGATTCAGAACATTGTCAATGGTCTCGGCGAATTTCTCTAGACCACCTATTGTTGTGTGTGCAGTCGCATTTGCATCTTCTGACTCATTCTCTTCTTGTCGCATATACTCCTCGGCCAGTTGCAGCGAACTGCTAACCGATGACCACATCGATTCGATCATGGAGGTTCCATCGTGTTCCCGTTTAACGGGTCGCATGCACAACACCACATCGGATACCTCGATGGCACTGTCGCTTGTCATTAGGGCATTCCAGGGCACTGACAATGTCAGCTGGCCTATATGGCCATCTGTAAATTCCAATGGCCAGCCTTGGGCCTCCAAAAGCTCATTTAAAGTCTCCACACGCAACGAGACATTTTTGATTGTGGCCTTGCCATTGTACAACTCGATGTTCAACTGTTCCAAGTTGAGATTCTCGTCGAGAAATTGGCCCAGATACCGTTGTAGTAAATAACGACACGTCTTATTCTTCAGCCCATCCCACACATTAAACCACGACATATTTTTCTGTTCTCCACCACACTCACGTCGTTCTCACGTACGTCTCGTCTAAGTCTCGGTGTGATTTTTTCCCTTGAAATTGTTCATTAAATTGGAATTATTTAATTTTTTCGTTTGCTGTTGCGTTATTTTCTCTACTTTATTATTTATTTTTCCGTGTTTAT